ATTGAACATCTTACATGAAATAGTTTGGTTCTCAGTCTCTTAGAAGAAGAGGCCACACCAACCAATGCCTACCTAGGAGAGCAAGAGCTTTTTATTTTTTGCCCGAGGATGGTCTCCACTAAACCTTGGGCTCAAACTCTTCATGCCCAAATTTGGAGTTCTTGAAGAAAAGGAAGGAAAGGTCACAGCACCTTAACACACTCCTTGTGTACATCATGGTGCCTAAGAAAAATCATCTTCTTCCTCTGCCTTTCCAAAATCCTCTGATTAAGGGAATGGGAGAGAAAAAACCAACATGGCAGGAAGGCCTTTGCTAAAAGGTGCATTAATTAGGTAAGGCAAGCCAACAAAATGATTAATTTGCTGTTCTCCTTCAATATTATGTTTACACAAGTTGATTATAGCACTTAATTACTAATTCACCCTGCTGAAAAACAAGAGTGCTTTAAAATTTTAATGAGATGAAGGAAGGCAGCATTCCTGAACTCAATAGGGAGAAGTCATTTTATTTCCTCTTTTGATTTCCCAAGTTATTACCATTTCTAAGGAAAACTTATCCCTTCCCTGATCTTCCAGTCACTCCTTTTGAAAACATGGAAATCATGGGACGCTTGCATGAATTGCAATCCAGGTGATGCTTTGGAAGAGGAATAGAGGATCAGATCATCAACTGCAGCGTGTCCACTGAAATAAGTGGAACAAAATTACACCAGAAACAGTCTGATCCAGAAATGGGAATGGCCTAACCCCCTCCAGTTCCGTCAGCACAAAAGTTGAATATATCCAAGTACTATTTATGGGTGTTCTTATGAAAATTGTCTCTTCCCCATTGCCAGTTGGTTCATTACCAAGGTTGTGGACTAATTGTACTCAGGAACTTTTTTGCATTCATGAATGACTGTAACACTTTAATTGTTACAAGGCAAGCACTCCATGTATCCTATGTTCTTCCTGGCTGCTCTTTAGAAAACTTGTGCTATCTGTGGGGTTTGTTATTTGATTTTTCCCTCTGTGTTCCACCACCCAATGTCATCCTGAGACAACTTAGAGGAGATGTCCATTAAACGGAGCAAAACCCAGCAGGGCACAAACAAAACTCTTCCAGGCTCTGTTACAGAGTTGTGAGTGAAGAATTTCTCTGCACCACCTTCACTTCAACTCCCACCTGCAATACAGTCCACAGACTCTGAGCCAGGGGACCACGATCCCCACAGCTCCTGGAGCTGCTTCCAGAGCTGCAGACTGGACCCAGGGATTCCTTCACCTGCTCAGCTGCTACTGCTGCTAAATAATTCAGATAATCCACATGAGATAACTGTCTAACACTTCTTCCTACAGAATCCAGCTCATTTTTATACACCTATGACCTGCTTCATAGAAAAAATGAAAAAGCTTTTCCCTGTCTTTTTGCAGGATATAGCATCAACCTGCTTAACAACCAAAACCAACAAAGGAAAGACTAAACCTCCTTTAAAAGTGGATTTGATACCTTAAAAATCTTGTAGTCATGTAGATTCTAAATTCTAGCTCAGTGTTTCACACCAAAAATGTTCACAGAAAGCTGGTTACAGAGAGTTACCAACAAAATGCATTCTAGAAAATCAGAGTTTCTTCTCTCCCATGCTGGCCAGTAACAATGCCCCACGTGAACAGAGCATATCCAAAATAAATCTGGTAATCTGGTTCCATACAGGTAATTTTATTAATTGCTTTAATATGCAATTAAGGAATAGTCAGTGGGCTGCAGGGTTTTATAAGGCAATAATCCTGCTCCCTGGTGTACAGCTTTGTCCCAAAGAGTGGGCTATCCAAAAAAAAAAATTAGCTGGATGACTGCCAAATCAAACAGCACCTTCTTCCCATTTTCAATTATGTACGAGTGAGGCAGAGTAACGAGGATATACTGGAAACTTTGACATTTATTTATTGAACATTTTTACTGAGAAGGAATTGCTGGCTGGCTAAACCGGAAACTATATTTTTACTATAGAAACAATCCCATAGAAAAGCAGGATCCTGCTGCTCAGCATGAAAGGAATGGCTAGAACCAATAAATTGACCCATCTAAGCCAGCAACGTTAAGGTCATTTCATTCAGTACAGCATGTATTTCAAAAATCCAAACCCCAAAAATACAGTCTATATTTCAAAAATCTTTATGCCATGCTGTTTTACACAGCACTGTCTGCTGGGGCCCAGCCAGGATGTGCTAGAGCTCCCACAAAACCACTCAGAGAAAAATTGTGCAGCATTTGTAGGGGCAAATTCAAAGATAAACCAAGAAGAAACTCAGAGGATTTTCTCCCCTTTCCAGAGTTTCTAGAGACTAAATAACCAAAAGATGAAATGGGGAAGAACTCACCACACTGTGTGGTTTCTTTTTCTTTTTGGATAGACCAATTGTTTTACCACAGAGGAGAAAAATGCACGGAGAGTAAATGAAGAGGAAAATAGGGAAGTCAACATTCTTTGAAGCAACAACATATGGTGACCAGGCCTGAGAGATGGAGGTTATAAATCTTCCCTTGATAGAATTACCTAAAGACGAAATCGCAGCTTCAAGGGGCTTGAACTTTCCAATCCACACTAGGAGCTTGCAAATTAACCTGTTTGCTCACAGCTTTTGCATTAACCTTCATTTCCAAGGCTTCTCTGTAAAGGCTCAGCATATTGAGAATTTTGGTGCTAATACAGATGTGGTCAGTAGAAAGCATGAAAAACTTTGCACAAATCACTTGAAATATGAAGAAAAATACATGGAAAATTAGGAATTAGAACAAAATGCTGAATTGTTCAAAGAGCTGCGGTATGGGAAGGGGGAAGAGACAGGAGGCATGTTGCTGCTTGTTTCTTTGTGAGAATAAACTAATTTAGGGATACCAAAGATAAAGGTGAAGCTCTTTAGTGTTCCAGCCACCATGACCACTGCCCAAGACAGGTGAGGGTGAGGCTGCTGCTGTCCCACGTGGGGTGGGTGCACCAACAGCCACGTGTGGTGAGTGACTGCCTGTCCTTGGAAAAAAACATGGTAAAACTGGACTAAGATCAGCAGAAGTGATTTGGAGGGATGCAGATTTGGGTGCTACTTCCAAGCTGTCCTAAAACTGCTTGAGTTTTAGAAAGTGGAGAACAGCCAATCCATAAAAGCCAGGGAGCTTTTAAACATTCTGATTCTGACATTGAGTGGAAATGTCCAAAAATCGTTCTGAGAAATGTGACCAGTGACTGAGAAAAATACAGTAAAAAATCGCCTTCAAAAAACCATAAGGAGAGACATTATTGTAAAAAAACCACAGTTCTCTCCTTTACTATTACACTGAGCAAACAAAGAGCTTTGGAAAGCACAGTAATTAAGCACAAACCATCTATTAGAGGAGAGGTAATAACCTGTATTTGCAAAGTCTACAAAGATGCTGAATGTTTGCCGCAGCACCTCTAAGAAAGGGTTGTTTTGGACGATGTGATACAAAAATAAATGTCAGGGAGGTTATTGACCTGCAATGGTAGATACACATTTACACTTCCCTGACCCTAAAATAAATATATTCAGTTTCTCCTTTGTGATCCCAAGTAGCTAAATTCTATTGAAAATATTCATATCTGTTCTGACATTACTGGATATTCTTCTGAAATATTTTTATTTTATTTCTCTTTTTTATATAAGGGCTAAAAACTAAAAGTGTATACACAAAAATTGTATAAAACACAACACAGAAAATTTCACAGCATTAGATTTTTCCAATGCTGATAAAAACAGATTTAACAAAATCAATTTTGCAATGTTCAGTTATTGTACAGTACGGGAAAACATGGAATGAAATATGTTTTATGAAGGCAGAAGATTAACAGAAGAGTAAGAATTAAATATGAAGTCCTGTCACCAAAAGTTGCTCCTGAAATTACATTTATCAAAATAAGGCCCCCTTACAAGCACTAGAATTATTACACACAGATATATAAATTGCACTGTGTATTTGCTGCAATGGGATTCATTTTAATGGAAACATTCTTATGAAAGGAAACTGCTCTTCCTGCTAACCTACACAGCACTGGAGAATATTCCCATTTGGAGAAGTGCCAAGCACAGCCCAGCTCCTCAGCTTATGTTGAGCTGTTTATTGATTTCAGTGGAACTGCACCAATTTAACCAGGTCGAGGAGTTGACCTCCCTATTCACAAAGTATCTCCAGATAAGCTTTTGTGCAAAATTTCATCTACAAATACCTGTGCCTGATGTTAAAAAGAAAAATGCAACAAATGTATCAGGGGCCATCCTGATAAATCATTTTGTTCAACTGCATTGTGCTCTTCAGTGTCCTTGTGCAGCATGAGGAGAGGACATGTTTTATGGGATTGCCATGGGAAAACAGGCATGGTTTGGGGCAGTCAGACCCTTCTTTGGGTTTCTGATGCCACTGCTGTTTGTATAAACGCAGCTAAGCCATGCTTTGACTGATCCACTAAAAATAAAAGCCTCACTGCAACTTTTTCAGCTGTTAATGGACTGAAATAACATGAATGAACATGAAATTCCATCCTCATTATTAACTCTGCATTCACTGGGGGCAAGACAAAAACTAAGATGTGTTATTTTTTACTGCATAAATAATGCTACGTTGTTTCTTATGTTTAACATTCCTCAATTCTTTCTCAAAGGAAAGAAAGTCGGACAAATGTAACTGAGATGAAAGTGTGACCTTCCTGCAGGATCAGAGCCTTGCCAAACTCCCTATTTTGTCTGTAAAATTACATGGGCTAGCTTCATACACAGCAGCTTCTATGCATGTCCCCACAGTCTAAAGACAAATGAATCCTCAACACACCCAAATAATATCTGGAGTTAAACAGAGGGTAGAGAGAAAGCAATGCTGGATCTTGTCTGGCTGTGCAGAAGGGACAAACTTTTCCACTTGGATTAAGGTGTGTGCATGGTGCCAGAAGTCAAGGTGTAAAACACATTAAGACTGAACAAAAGATGACATAAAATCAGGGGCTGCATACCTGGATAGATGCAAAATCCCCAGAAGCACAAGCTCCAAGAATAGCAGCACCCACCAAAACAGACTCCACTTCTTTGGACAGCACAACAGGTTTGCCTGCAGAGGGAAGAGCCAGTCCTCTGTTAGGGAACACAGCAGCACCAGCAGCTCCACAAATAATTAAAACCCAAAAAGACAAACAAAAAAAAAAAAAAGAATCAAAAAGGGCTTGAAAACCATTCTTGAAAACCCCATTCACAGCTACATCCTGCTGTAAGTTAATGCAAATGTCTCTGCTCTGTGGTTCCAGGCTCCAAGAAAAGTGCAGCATTTAAATAAAATCATTTTAGTAAAATATTAATGCAGAACATAAAGCACACAAAAAACAATCCCCCAGATTTTGACACTGGCTACTTATCTCACTCAAAGGGCTTGGTATAAACCTGTTACCCACACCCTCCAAACCCACGTGCCTATTAAAAGTTGACCTGGAGGGGAAAACAAGGCAGTCTCCTTTTTGTTTCTTTTGCAACAAACAAAAAAAAGATTGTTTGTGTTTGGTTTTGAACATACAGCCAACAAAGCCAGTCTGGTTTTGCTGGAAGACATGAAAATATGAGTAGTAAATTTTCTCAAGCTATGTATGAAATTATAAGAGAAATGTCTTCCAAATTGTGCAAGAAACTTGAAAACAAAATTAAAACAGCGGAAAAACAAGTCAACAATATATATTCTAAATTAGAATTAAATATTAGTGTTTCATCATCCATGGGTACTATCAAGAACATACTTTCCCTTGGTTTATGCAGAATTTTCTGAGACCTGTTTCACTAGTGTAAAGAAAAGCAGAAAAAGGCTGAAAAAAACAAACAAAAATTAGCTTGCTGTCTTAACTCCCCTGAGAAAATTAAACCAAGAGCATAGATCTAAATACTTTTCTAGCTGCACTTCAGATGCTTATCCTCACTAAGCCGAAAAATTTAATAATCCTGCAGTATTTGGCATGTGTCTGCATTTCCAGTACTGAGATAATGTCATTCAGTGAACAATGATGCAAACACAGGGGTGGGAGCAGGGATTCCTGCTCAGAACAGTCTCCATGATATTATGCCCCAAAAAATGCTGCTCCTGAGAGCCAGCTGTAAGATTAGAAGCAGCTGAAATTTTGGTGAAGTCCTAAAATCAGCCACGAACAACTTCTACAGAGGAAAAAGGGCAAATCGCACACTTTGCAAAACGAGAAATAAGATTATGAATATAAAAAGCAATTGCTGGCACAAAGCAAATTCACCTCGCACCAGGCATTCAGTTGCTTGATGTGAAGCTTGCCCTGTCACCTGAGCATTGCTCCAGTTCAGCTGAAGCCCAGCTCAGGACTTGGGTCAGCTTGGAACAGCAAATCTAAAGCTCAAGCTCAGAGCTCCGTGGCTCTTTGCCAGGCGTCAGTGAGCAATTTTCAGCGTGCTCTAAAATTTACTGCCCATTTCCCGCATCGTCAGAATGAATACGGAATTCTTACCAGGCAAACAAAAAGATCAAGATACTTTTTAAGTGGCCTGTGGAATTATCTATTGGATGTCTGCATGGCTGAGTCATGGGCATTTGTCGGTAACAATAATATATTCAGATTTTTTTCTTTTCAGGAAAGAATGGGGGATTGATCCTGGAATGTTAGTTATTTTATCTGATAGGCTTTAATGAGTTCAACATAACCAAGAGCATTTCAGTCAGATGAACTCTGACATCCCTTGTCAGTCACTGATTTTACAAATGGGGGAGAACTCCAGACTGCAAAAAGGCCTTTTTGTACTGAATTGTACTTGGCCATTAGTTACAGTCAAAGAACTTGTGATTACATTTTAATCAGAATACCTCTTCACAGATCTTTTCTTTTACACATCAGGACCCAGCAGCCAAACTCTACATGTAGCTGAAAATCACCTAATATGTGAGTTTTTGAAGGAAAGACATGGACTTTACATGATTTTTTGCAAAGCATCATTTTGACTACAATCTAATCAGTGAATTTTAAGGTCAACAGCCATCATGTTTTCTGCTTGTCCATACCGGTTATAAAGTGTGGTTTGATGTTAGGGCAAGTCAGATCTCCAGCCCAAACGCCCCAAATTTGGGCCTTACACTTCATTTGTGACAGCTTAACTGATCTTAATTTGAAATAAATCCAAAACACACATCACTCAATGTTTCTCTGAAGTCCTTTACACTTTTTTTGTTATTTTTTCCACTTTTTTAGAAGCACATTCAACCAACTCACAGGTGTGCAGAGATGTCCAACATATACAGGCTGAAGGGAGACCAAAAATACCATGGAGGCCTGAGAGCTCCTCTTGCAGTGAAACACATACCCAGGGCTTTCCACCCACCAGGAATTCTACAAAACCAAGGGCAACACCTTGCAGGAGCAAGAATCCAGACGTTGTCCCCTAAACCACATCAGTGACACAGGCATGGAAACAATTCAGGAAAGAATTGTTCTCTAGAATGGATACAATGCCCAGCAAGAGCAGGAAGTGTCACAAGTCAAACAGGATGGAGCCAACAGAAGGAACATTTCATTGCACACTTTGTTGGCCATGCAGCAAAATAGAGCTCTATATAAAATCTTTATTTTTTTCCAAAGACAAAGTACTTAGATACCTTAAAAAAAAAAGTATTTTCACTCCTTTCCATGCACTTCCCCAAGCTTACCAGTAATGTCAGCATGCATCTGCACAAAGAGAGGGTTCTTGCTCAGCCCACCACACAGGAACAGCGTGCTGATGTCATGTCCTGCAGCCTGCATTGCCTCCAAAATATGTCTTGTTCCCAGCTTCAAAACGAGGGGAAAAAACAGAACCAGATGAGCAGAGGAGAGAAGCCACAGCAACAGAACTACACCTGCATGGCAAAGACACCCCTGCCAAAACTTCTCTTTGCTTTGTACAACAGCATCTGAAAATCCAGCTCAGTAAAGAGGTTTCAATTCTGAAGCCAAATAGCAAAACAAACAGAACAAAAAAAAAAAAAAAAAAAAAANAGAACAGCAAATAAAAAACTGTTTTCTGTCTTTTCAGCAAAAAGGAAAACCTGAAGAATTTTGTATTGGCTTAACTATTTCTCTTGGCCTTTGCCCTACACAAAATAAAATGTTCCACTTCATGGCTGGATTAATTGAAACATCTCGAATGCAGGCATATTTTAAACTTTTCATTTACAGTCTCCATTCTGAGAAACTCAAATCAGAATGGCAGAAGCAAATGCTTTGCCATTTAAAAAAAACAAAAAACTTTTTGTTTGCTTTGCTTCCCTCCTCACTGAAGTCAACCTTCTCCCTATTTCCCCTAGCAACAATATTTTCCATTTCTTTGACAAACTATTTGACCAAAAGTAATTCCCAGCTCCTTATAACACCTTGAAAGTTAAGTTTGAAGCTCAGATTTGACAAAATGTCAAATTCAGGGCAAAATGTTGCCCAGGCTGACTCTTGGTAGGCAGAGTCTGCACAAAACACAATCTGGTCAGAATTTTTATAAACTGTTACTTAAGTTTTAAGGCCATGCTGCGGTTCATTAAGAGGGCTGCAGCTGCAACAAACCCCTCTTCAAATCAAAGCTACTGAAAACTGAACTTGCAGGTTTGCACCAGGCTGGAGACATCCACAGTGAATGCTCAGCAATATTCTGGACAGGCCTTCAAATGTATTTTGATTTTTAGACAAGCAGTTCAGAGGAACCTAAGCAGCCCCAGCCCCAGCTGACTAAATCCATGGCTTCCCTATTGACACAGAGGGTTGATTTCCAAATTGCACAGCCACGATTTTAATTATGGAAAAAGAAACTCCTCCAAAAGGATCTGCCTGCTCAGAACAGGCTGCACGGCCACAATTACATCTCTGATCATGTTCTCATCTGGCCAACTGTTGCATTGCATTTTGCAGTGAATAGTTAAAAGGAGATTCTCTTTCACTGCTTCTGAAATTCAAATTTATTAACAACTTCTCTCACAACATACACACGTCAAAGACCCTGAGAAAGAACATGCTGTGAAAATTATTTTGTGTTTACCTGCCTGGAAAATTGTATTCACACAGCAATTTAAATTAAAGCCAGACTTATTTCACTGTGGGTGGGGGGGAACTAATTTAATCCTGGGTTGGAGAAAATGCAAATTGAGGGGCTTCAAATGCAAATTTTATATAAAAAGGAAAAAGCATCTCCTGCTGAAAAGAAAACTAGAGATTAACATTCTGTGGGCAGGCCTACACTTTGTACAAGGTTTTTATATAGGTTTAAAGTTTATCTTGCACCCATTGAAGACAGCTAATGGTACAGGATTACTACAACTGTTTCCTTCAATAAAACTGAAGCTAAATTTGGGAGTGAAAATTTAATTTCTTAGGTATCCCATTAGCAATTAGTACATATATCAAGTCAAAACCAATGGTCTCTGTCTACTTTTTAGTTACTGTTTCAATAATGTTTTAGGGAAAAAAATTTCCCTTAACTTACAGTGGAAAAAAAAAACTACAATATGACCTTTTTATATTAAATTAGCCCAATCAGCTCTCCAAAAGATATGCAGCTGCTGAATTTACTGCTCAAGACAGTGTTTGTGTTTTACAATAAAGTTTGAGCTGTATCATATAATGAGATAATAGGTGACTTTCCCAGGATTTCCAGCAGAGAAGGTTTCCACTTCGTTAGCACGAGATAATCACAGGGCACCTGTTCCAGACTGGGAAGTTCCTTTCAGGGGCAGGATCAGTCCCTGGCATTGTTTAGCCTCTCCTCCACATTCTTCTTTCAATGGTGGGATTATACTGAAGCATCAGGTATAACCCAGCTACATTCATCTGCAAAAGCCTCCAAACTCACAACAATGAATCCCAGGCTGGGGTTAAGTTCTCCTTATTTGCTGAAGAGGGAAGGTTAACACATAAGATGAACAATTCCCAGTAAATTTACAGCAGCCGCCCACCCTCTCCATCCCAGATGGCTGACCCAGCCTAGAGAAGTTGTTGTTTAACCAGGAGAGGAGTTTGGAAGTTTTCCAACTGAGCAGAATTTTGTCAGGAAAACTCCCCAATTCATCAAACTCTTCATGTTTTGCAAAAACACCTCAAGTTCAACAAACTTGAAAAAAAATAAAAATAAAAAATTGTTAATAGAAAGGATGTTAAAGGAATGTGGATTTCAGTCACCAGAGGGCTGGGGACAGCATGTCCCACTGGAAACACCCTGAGCCAGGCTTTCCAAAGCACTTCTGTGAGCCAGGGTTTCACCTCAAAACACAACTTCTCGTGAACTGGAAATCCTGGGTTCAAGAGAAAATCAGGGCAGAAAGAAAAATATTCTGATAAAATTCCCCATCCCTGCGTGCTGGAAGCTCGAGGAACATTTCCCAGCCTCCCTGCCCTGCCCTGCTTGCCCAGCCATGGCCACAGGCTGGGACTGCTCCCCTGGGGTAAGATGTGCCCTGGTGGGTCTGAAGCACAGCCCTGCTCAGCCTGGCACAGAGCTCTGCCTCACCCACCGGGCAGGGAGGGCAAATCCATGGATATGGGAACAATCTGAAGCTGAGGCTTTTCAGGGCAGCACAGAGCCCTTTGTACAAATGCCAGAGCTTTTCTCCCCCTCTCTCAGCCTCCCTCTAGACAGCTGGGATGTTAACACTGCTCCTTGTGCTGTCAGCCTCCTCCCTCACATCTGCACCAGAGGCAAAAGCTCCACTTACAGAACTGCCATAAGGACAGGAGTTTTTAGGGGAACATCTTCCCCCCACAGTCTGTGGATTCCCCTCCAGTTGGGAGTGGTCACCAATGTGGCTGAACAGTATCTTGCTCCTTTAAGAAGCCCATTAAGTGATTTCATGTATTATTAGAAATCTGGTTAGCAGAAGGGAATGATCAGTCTGCACAGAACACGAGACAATTCATTTCTTCTTTTATGCACTAAAAATGTCTTACAGCAATGGCTTGGATCGTGGCCAGGTAGATAAGGGCAAGTTCATCCAGACCCCGAGACAATGTTAGTCCAACAACCTGTGCAAAGATCAAAAAGAAGATGTAAAAATCCAGCCAAAGTAAAAGTCTATTATTCTCTATGACTTCTTGTTGTAACAAGTTTTAAGTGCTAATTCCAAGACTTACTCCTGTGAGCTGTACACATAATGTTATGTTAAACATGTTATTCCTGATCTGGGGAAGAACCACATAAATTATCCTTGCCCTTGTGAAGAAATAAAGAACAAACAGCATATTGTATGGGATTAGAGATAGATTAACTGTGACAGTTTTATGTTATGACTCAGATATTGCTCGTGAATGTATTTAATGTAATAATATGAAAATGCTATTACATAAAAATAACTTTTTAAAAGCATTTCTCCCCCTCCCTCCTAAGCACCCTAACACTGAAACACAATTAATAATTAAATACTATATCTTAACCTCCTTTACTCTGACATAAATCAATACTGCACTATAGTTAGTCTGGATTAATATCAGGCAAGGCCTGAACGCAGACAGAATTGTGACAGAAAAAAATGGGTTGCTATTACCAGTATTTGCACACAGCCATCATACCCAAGAAATTCTGATTTTGCTGCAGCATGTAATTCTTTCATAAAATAATGGAGGCATTATTAGGACCCAAAAATATATAGATCATTTTTTTTAATGTTTCCCTCATTTGTAGCTTAAAACACAAAGCAATGCTTCTGTGTTTCCTATCTCAGCCTTAATACAGCAGAGTTTGGTGCTGCTGAGTAGCTTGAGAGGCTCACTTCAAGGACAATTTGCCATTTTGAAGGAGATTTTTGCATTAATCACCAGGTATTTTGATATCACCAAAAGTTACTCTTATGATACTTTCTGTTACAGTTCTGCACAGCCCTGGCTTGTGAGTGAGCTGATCTACCACTGTAAATTCAAGGAAGAGGAATGCCCAAACTCTGAAAGACGGGCAGAAAAGCTGTTTAAATCAACCACCTATCATCAGAATATTTCATTCTTTTCCCAAACAGGTTTACCCAAATTTCTCCTGAAATTCATTGCAACAAATTGTAAGATTTGGTGCACAGGTGAGATAACAACAGCAAGTTGTGAAATGTGATTCCTAGGAAAGGTACCTGGACACATACAACATTCCTCAAGTTTTTAGAAAATTAATATGGCTGTAGTGATGTCTCAAGTACAATGATCTCTGGTTTTCTACTGAAATATCAGCAATGCAGCAAGAAATTCAAACCCTTTGGGATAGTGTAAATAGCTAAGGAGGAGCACACTCAAAATTGAAGAAAAGCTCCTTCCAAACTGCTTTTTTTTTTTTTTTTACCCTGTATTGACCTTTTTGCAAAGACAGGCTGTTTCTTACCATGCCCTTTAGTGTCAGATCTGTTAAGGGAGATCTGTTACCATGGAAATCTGGCCAAACATGTAAATCAACAGTGAGGAAACCCACAGGCAAAGATTTCTTAATCAGATCCAGGTGACTGTTCAAGTATGTATATATACTGTGAGCACTGCAAGAAAAACAAGTTGGAAAAAGAGGGGGGAGGTTATTCCTCAAACATAAAACATTTGTACTACCACCAAATGCAGGAACCCCATCAAAGCATGGCAAAATCCCACTCCCTGCCAAGGCCATGGCACTGCAGGGATATCCCTGTTCCCAGGAATCCATGTGAACAGACCATCAGAATTCCTTAATTTCCCAGGATGAGGGGAGATAATGTGACCTTGAGTTTGTCCACTAAGTCCTAAGAGTCCCCAGAACTGTTTGAGATTTGGGGGCTGCTGCTGCTCCTCTCTCACGACTGAGAGGGAGGAATAAGGAGGATTCCAGACAGAAATGAAAACCAAATTCCTTAGCAAATGTTTGAAAACTTCTCTGATTGATCAATAGTGTTGGATGTACAGCTTTCCTTTTTTAAACCATAATTATTTCAGTGTGTGTTATGATTAAAATGCAGCACTATGGGTGGAGGAGAGAAAGTGAGTGGCTGCTATTTTAGGGAGGAGCCCAACATGGGCCTAAATATGATTGTATCTAAGTTCAGATGCTACACCCAACTCCACAATATCCAACAGACTTTTTTCCTGGACTTAGGACTAATGGTGAATTCTTCAGTGCCTTGGCTTGCAATGACTACAGTGACATTCCATTTAAAAAATGTTGCAATTATGCTCAGAATATTTTTTTCAAACCTTCATCCTATCACAAACAAATCCATAGATATTTTCCAACCCCTTGGAAATCTCCAAGTGGGGCATTTAATTCTAGACATGTGGGTCAATAACAGCATCTAACCCTAATTACAATTGATTAGTCATTGTCTCATCCACTGCAGACCCAAACAGTGATATTCATTTAGCCTCTACATGTATATTCAATCATGCACTAATGAGATCCCTAAGGGAATTTGGCATATGCTTTACTAGTTTGACTTCTGACCCACTAGCAGCTGTATATTTATACTTTGCATTCAACCATTCAGCTGCATGTTTTTTCAATTATACCTTACCATGTGTACACTATCAGAGGATATCATTCAAAATGAAGTACACTTGGAAGACATTAAAATAACTAATTTACATCATTATTCACGTCCTTTAAAATGTACTTTATGTGTCTTCCTGGACCCAAATTATAATAATTTGGAGGTCACCATCACTTCTTTCTCTTTCTTGTAAAAGTGGCCCTGTTTTCTCCATCCCTAAAGACTCCACTACAAGCAGGATACACTAAGGATAAAGTCGTTTTAATTCCAGTCTCAATCATGGCTTGATGGTTGGGAAGGATAAAAAAAGGAAAGCTTCACTCAACCACAGACCCACCAGACATCTCAGCCTCTCTCTCCCCTCCATCCTGGCTGACTGCTCTCACAAGGATTAGCCATTTGTGCAGCTCTGTCAGAACACAAGGGCTGAACAAAAGGAGGCTGAAGTTGAGCCAAACATGCTTAAGATCCACATAACCTTGGAATTATACTTTTTCCCACACCTTTTCACATTTTAATTTTTTTCCTAAATATAGATAAAAGTTAAAGGCACTACATTTGGATTGAGTGACCAGCAAAATCCTTCAAACACTTGCCAGATCCTGTTTTACCACCTTTGTGTTTAACAGAGTGTAACACCATCACCTCCTGGAGCTTTTTCTACTCAGTTCTCTGTGAAAGTATCAGTGGCAGCTGCCTCTGACCTGCAGAGCTGAGCTCGAGCTGTTGCCATGAGAAAGGAACTGTGCTGAAAGTGGAGAATAAGAAATCAATGCAAGTCTGCCCAGAGTTATGTTCATACAGGGGACACAACTTCAGAAAGCAACCAGGGGTTGGTATTTAACCTGTTGGAATCATGGAAGATGCCAGCAGGTATCTTTCAGGGGAAAAAAAAAAAATCCAAAAATTTTAGATTTCTAAATTTAAATTAAAAGGTTCTAAACCAACTAGAGATACAGAGAACTCCAAATATGATTCTTATATTCTGCTAGAAAAATCCTAGAATTGCTGGTAGATGCCGTGTGTGTAACTTCAATGCTTTCTTTTCAGGAAACATCTTTTTAGATGGGGAAATGGCATTGAAGATCTACAGGAAAGGGAATTCTGCCCTAAAACACCACTTCACCAAGGGCCAAAGGACATACTAACTTTGCTGTCAGTTAGACACTTTTCTTCTCTAGCTGATTAGAAATGGTCATTCTAGAAAAAGAATTATTTAAACTTTAAAGCAAAAAAAATAATATTATTTAATTTTCTACTCTAATCTACCTGTACAGGATTTAACACAGCAGTGATGACTACATGTCAGATCTACACAATATGAAGGATGAAGAACTGAAGTGATCCATCACAGCAATTTCTACAACTTGCTGAATTGCCTGAAAAACCCCAAGTTTTGGTGCTCACAGATTGTGCCCATCAGATAGACCAAATGCTAAATTTAAATTGTCCAGAAAATCCTTGTGTAATTCAACCCTCCCCATTTCCAGTAAAAGGAGGGTAAAAAAGAACCCAGGAATGGGACTGGGAGGGTTGCACAAGCCTGGCCTTCAGCAGCAGTGGTCAGAGCTGGTTGTCTGAGCCTCTCACACCCTCACAAGTCACCACAAATCCCTGCACCAGTGCTGAAACAGCTGGAAATCTGCTCTGCTGGGAGCAAAGGAGAGTTTGCACAGGGAAACTCCCGAGATCAGCTGGGACCTGCCATTCCAAACCTGCCTCTTAGCAGCATCAGGAGAAAGGGAGGACAGGTTTGGGGATGCAGAAGGAGGTGGTAGGTAGCAGCAAGCAAGAGGCAAGGATTTGTGACCTCTGATCTACTTTTTTTAGTGATGCAGATATGCATGTGCTTAACTCTTCACTGCACTGCACCCAGCATGGGAAGCAAAGGCAATATGGAACTGCACACCAAAGGATGGAATTCTCATTTGGTTTCCCCTCCATGACTATTTACAATGGCTGAACAGATTCAAATTCCTATACATAGAATATCCTTAAACATAATAAACCAAATTCTCTGAACTGTTCAGCTGAACATTCCAGTGAAATAATTTATCACCAATAATCCTCCAAAACAAGATACCCTGTTTGAAGGGAGCCTATAAGAAAGATGGAGAGAGACAATTACAAAGGCCAGGAGTGACAAGGAGGAATGGCTTCACAGTGACAGAGGGCAGGGTTAGATGGGATATTGGGAAGGAATTCTTCCCTGTGAGGGTGCCCAGAGAAGCTGTGGCTGCCCCTGGATCCCTGGAAGTGTCCAAAGTCAGGCTGGACAGGGCTTGGAGCAGCCTGGAATAGTGGAAGGTGTCCCTGCCCATGGCAGGGGTGGGACTGCATGGGCTGTAAGGTCCTTCCCAACTCACACCATTCTGTGATTCTGGGATTATTTTTATTCTGTGTATATGACTTAATGTAGGCAAACACATAATCTAGAATTTCGGCTAACAGCAGCTGCTACTTGTACCCATGATAAGGCTGAAGTTTGGGGAATCATGGAAAAACAGAAAGGAAAAAATAAGGGGAAAAAAGTTCCAATTTCAACTTTCCTGATTTTTCTTCATTCAAGTAAAATTCTTTAAATTTAACAAATATTTGAGAAGGACAGGGAGACAGCAGATGAGAGAATTAACATGAGACTTGTTTAGTATATTTATAGCAATACCAGTGTTTCATTAGGAGAGTGATACCTGGAAAGCATTACAAAAATACCATTGAGCAAATTAACTTCATAAAATATTATCACTCTTTTTATAAAATATTACAACTTTCACAATCAGTGCTATTCTCCACTATGCTACTAACTACAGGAGACTCAAATGCAAAGTTATGACACCATACCCTTGGATAATATGGAGTTCTACTGCCAATATTCTGTGTTTAGTGTCCTGTTCACATCACAATCTCAGTTTTTTGCACTGTGGCATTGCTTGTGGTCAGTCAGTTCAGTATGAGACCCAGCAGACAAGTAGGCTACTCCATAGGCATTTTTCCAACACAAAAAAAAAAATGGTTTATCCTGGCATTACAGACTAAACTGTTTGTCTTATGCTTGTGCTTCAAATGGGGGCACTGGAAAAATGGCCTGGAAGCCAGAATTTTGAAAAAGACCCAGTTCAATCTTTATTCCAAACATACACAGATGCATTTATTTCCTGATTTCCTTTTCCAGAGAACAACAAAGAGAATTCTAGGAAGCATGAATCTGTTTCATATTGAATGAAGTCCAATACATTTCTGGGAATCCTGGTCAAGTTCTTAACAAACAAGTAAGGCAGTGGGCCCTGCAAAGCAAGGAAGGGTCATCCAGAGAAACCAGGTAGAGCTTTACCTCCCCAGGGAGGACTGAAAATAACTTTGTAACAGCACGTGCTTAATCCATCTGTCAGGACTGACCCTGCCTCTCAGACCAGAGGGAGAAACTGAAGGGAAAATGCCAAGTTTGCTGGGTTTTTTCTTTAATCTAAGGAGGAAAAAGACATTAAAAGAGAATCACATTTTCATCCAAGGTGCCCAACAGTTCAGCTAAAACCTCTCTGGGAGTGATGTGAACCATCTTAGAATGAATCCAAGCCAAAAAAGCTTGAGGAAGTCCAGGCCTGACAGAAGTGTCTGAACTTCTTCATCCACTTCTAAAGCAGAACAAGCTCAAATTCCACATCACACACAGCCTCTTGTTCAAGGAATCCTGGCGTTACCTCCAAGTCACCCCTCTATTTAAAGTTTTGTCTGAAAATTCATCCTGGGTTTTTCTCTTCTATTTGTGCTTCCAAGCAGGAGTTTCTCATATAGTGGCTACATCTTTCTTTAGATGACCATTTCAAAAATACTGAATAATATATTCCTAATTAAATTACATCCCATCCCTGGAGCTTAATCATTTCACCTACAAATTAGGACTTTTTTTAGCCCAAGGCATGGAGGTGTGCTGAACAGGGCTGGTGCTATGGAATCAAGAAATACCTTGGGCTGGATAGAAAAGCAAAAAAGTTAATATGATTACTTAGATATGCCAAAGGTATCTGAAGGGAGTTTAAACCTTACATTTATGAGCAATCACCTGGCAAGTCTTTGTAAACATTCCAGCCCACTATCAGACTGTTAATTCCCTTGATTGAGAATAGGACACTGCTGGGAATAGAGTGTGCATCAGTCTGTAAGGCAGGTATGTGATAAAGGAATAAAGCAGTGACCTGGCTGCAGCTTTTGCCTCTAATTCTGGGAAGGCGACGTGGCCTCGCACCACATGATCGATCTGAAAAAGAGAAAAGAAACATTTTGGAGATGATTACATCTTGAAAATTCAATCCTGGAAAAGAGAAAGGCAGTGTCATAGCTCTAAAAAAGACAAGAGAGCTTCTAAATTACTCATGAAGTGTTAAATCCTAGTCCTAGCAAAGCCAGTGGCAGAACTCCCCCTGAAATTCAGGATTTGGCATATAAACAGTAAGAGAAACAACCAACCTTGCACCAAACCCCAAATGCTAAGCATGCAGCTCCTCAGTCAGGAGAGTAAGGTGAAAGGATGACTTTTTTCCTGTCCAACACCCCCTGCATGTCCTCTAGTCTCCCCAATCTGCATGGATATCCTCATAGGAATTCTACCAGAAGCATCTTCTTGGCCCAAATCCCTACATCATCTTTCTCTATCACACTGTTATGATAAAACACGAGGTGTGTTGTCATCCTGATGGATGCTTCATGCATTCATTGCAGGAAACAAAATGTATACCCTGAGAAGCAATTATTGCTATAAAAGAAGATCAATATAAGCTCTGTCTTATGCTGAATTTATAAATCAGCTTGTCCTTTCACTCCAGAGTGGTTACCATTACTCACAAAACAAAGTATCAGGTAGAATAATATGGGCTTTTAAGACAATAATTCAGCAGGTTTTGTGGCCTCTTGGTAATATCCCATCAGAGGTGACAGTAAAAGCTAAGGAGGTAAAACTATAGCTACTCAAGAGCACTGAGTATATTTGGCAGTACTTATTGACAGCAAAACACATTAGTATTTAATCTTCACAGCAATCAGTCTAGTCCTGAACCCCTTAATGAAGCATACACACGTGAACACAGTAAAGAGAGCAATGCATGTCTGTTCTCCCTGAGATCAAATGTGTGCATGCACCAGAAACACAGCTCAGGCCCGAATTCTGCAATTCAGAATCTCTTCAGAGCACAGGGGCAGCTCATAAATTGAGAAATAAATCTATAAATAAACATCATATATAGGTGTGTGCTATGAAAACACTGTTACACAGAACTGTTACAGGAGTTATGAAGTTTGCCCTTAATTCAAGCCATGGCCACATGAGGGATGCATCTAGAAACCCTTTCCTGCTACTTTTTATTTCACAGTTTGCAATGATGTCATGCCACCCTTTGTTGTACAATATCTTTCTTCTTATAAATTTTGAAAATACAGTGTAAAACCCCATTAAATATACAGCTAAACAAGAATTTGCAGAACAAGGGACTTCTTAATTCTTCATTTGGACTCTATCTAAAACAGTTTTCAAAATCCAACTGATTTCTTCTGCAGCAGTATCCCAAACAAATTAGAGCTTTTTAAAGGAATCAGTTTTACTTTTAAGAAGTTGATCAGACTGTTCAAATTTTATGGAAATAATTTAATTTACCATGGGGTGTTGATCAAGCAATGGAAAAAATACCTAAACATGCCCTTTTTTTTTGTTTGTTTGGGGTTTTTTTGTTTTTTGTTTTTTTTTGTTTTGTTTTGTTTTGTTTATTTTCAGAAAACTTAAGGTGTAAGAAAGTAGGAGCTTTGAAAAGGCAGAGACAATAAATGCAATATACCCTGCACAGTGCACTGTCTCCTCCCACGGCTCCCTATGTGCTTTCTGTTCATACCACCTCAAGAAAACCACATGGGATATTCCAAGAGCGTTTTAATGAGACACTTTCCCTAATATTCCTAACAGTACCTCAAGCTGACTTTTGCTATGGGTCCTAACAAGACCGTTCATTCTTTCCAGTAATTTCTTTAATGATTCGGGAACGCCTTGTTCTCTGGTACAAGAAAGGAAAGGATTTTTAAAATCATCTTTTTGAAATGCCTTAACTCTTATTGTACATTTTAAGTGTGGAACCACTGTGAGCCAGCCAAGAAAAACTACTGCCTGCCTGTATCCTGTCTGGAGCTTAGATAAGTGTATTTACCTGCTTGGAATTAAGCACACAGAAACTTTCAAAAGTGTTCTTGCAAAACAACACAGAAGGTTTGCTATTTTCCTTGAAAAATGGTGGTGCTATGACCACGTATTTATTATTTTATATGGACATCATTTATTTTTTTCTGGTTGTAGAAGTTATTTGTAAAATGGGACACTTTTGGTTCTAGCCCAATCTTGACCTGAAAAATTTAAAGCACACACATCCCACCTGCTGCAAAAGCAGTTTTTGGCCACAAGGCTAAGGATGGGCTGGCCAGGCTGCAGGAGGAGGAATGACTGTGCCCCTGAAGCTGTGACACAGAGCAATGTCAGGCTGCCATGGCCAAGGAGAGAGCACAGGAGGGATCCCCAGCCACAGCTCAGCTTGGGGTGTGTCCGGACTTCCCGAGGCAGGAGGATTTCTGCTTCTCATTCAGTGACTGTTCCATAAGGAATTTAAATGCAGTGATGCCCCAATGCATTTCCTGGCCATGTACTCCCATCTCCAGGCTTTTAAAGAGATGGGTGGTGCTGAGTCAGGGAGTGATTACAGCTGCAGTTTGTGACAGACCAGACCCACCTGCACTGGGGCTTTCCAGGGGACACCCACAAGCCTGGGGCTGTCTCCTGCAGCTCAGCCCTGAGGGCAGCCAGGCTTTCCACAGGTTGGGCAAGGTGACACAAGGAGACACAGAAGCTCCAGGGTTAAGCAGTCACCAAGATCTTGCTGGCACTTTTGGACTCAAGACTAAATACTGTTGTGTACGTGTAGCCTTTCTTTAAATTTGATATCAGTGTTTTAGTTCTGATTGTAAATAAAAAATTCATTTTTTAGTGAACTCTGCTCGGCTTTAATTTTTATTGGTAAATCAAATTAACCTAATACTGTTAGATAATTTGTATTCAGGGAAAGAACTGAGGTGATGGAAAAAATGTTACTATATTACTATTCTGTCCACATATCTTTCATTTACACCCATCAATGAACACAACTGATCTATACAATACAATATGTATCATTTTCTTCACATCAGTCTGTTTCAGCCTCCTGCTAAAGCAAAGAATGAAGCCTATTTGCCTGTAAGATAATTACAATAATCATCACCACCATCATAAAAGGAAGACATGCCCTGTATATAATCCCCTATCTCTATGCAAATTAGTATTATGTAACAGACATAACACTCGTCTAATTGTTAATTGCTTTCAGCAGCCTGGTACATCCCAGGATCTTATGGAGATGTTTCAGGTCTGAATTGCCAGTGAAGGCATCCCAAATAGCAGCAGTCTTGGAGCCTGTCCGTGTCTCCAAACACTCACCAGTTTTCCTGTAGCACTCTGGCCTCCCTCATTCAACCACAATCCAGGTACCATTGCAGAGAAATACGGTCCCCAAACACCAGGCACAAAAATAGGGGTTTCACTCACCTGGAAAAGCAACAGAAAGCTCTAGTGAATTAAAGTGCTTGTCAAAGTAGCAGCTATCAGAGTCCAATACTGAGACAATTCCTGCTTCTCCACTGGAATTACAACAGAAGTGGAGATGTACGGGTAGAAATTTACAAAAAAAAAAAAGTGGAAAAATGTTTTGCCCCATTTACATAATTTTTAGATGACAAGACACAGCCCACAACCCACTCATCCCCACAGACAAAACAGCTGGGCCTGGTCAAACAGAAGATAAGAAATTTCAGGAATAGGAGCTGTATTTCACAGAGGTAAGGAAACTGCCTCATTTCTCCAGAAAAAGGCCTTATTTAGAGTGACCAGTGGGATACAATACCCTGCTGGAGAATGAGCACACACAGGCACTGTAATCGGCCACAGGAGCTCCCAGAGCCCCCATCCTGTACATTTGAGGAGTTTAGAATCAGGAATCCTGCTGACAGAGGACACTGATCCCCCAAGATCTGCCAGGCACACAGCAGGGCTGTGCTCCACCACCTGCACACAAATATCCCCAGCACAGTGACAGCCTGGCCCCTGCACCTCTGATTTTGTGGTTAGACCACTCAGGATGTGGGAGACACTGGTTCATTTCCTTTCTCTCGTCAGAAGATGCAAATTACCAGTTTATAAGGGTGGAGGGCATTTTTCTTCCTCTTACAAACTGGTTTCACTTTCAATAGACCAGACAGACTTTCTAGACTTTCCTTCTGGTTCAGCAGAACACTGTTTCCAGCTTAGCAAGTAAGGCTCAGCACACACCAGGACTGGTGAGTCCCAGTACTTGCTCCAAAGACTAATTGTGATTTCCCCACTGGTTAAACATGGAATTCTTGCAGCAGGGGCTGGAGGACACAGGCCATCCATGCTCTGCCAGGCTTCTCTTGGAAGCAGGATCCAGGTTTCTCTTCCAGGACCACATGTATACACTCAAGTTAGACACAGCCGTGATTTCACTGGGAAAAGAGAACAGCAGTGCAGTCCTACACCATCCCATGATTTATGCTGCACTTCCCACTGATGATGGCTAAATCTGCAACTGTTGTTTTCTAGAAGGTGGGAACTACTAGTAGAGATGGATACAAGAGAATTAATTCCCTAACAAAATCAGTCTGTGTGTTTCCAGTGCTGAAGAGCAAAAAGAGAGGTCTTAGTCAATAGGACAACAGGGTTTTTTGTATTCAGACCTCGCTCCTCAATAGCAAAATTCTAGACTCATTGAAGGATGCTCAAGGTGCTGTTGAATTCAATAAAGCCTCGATTTCACATCAAAACAGTTTTGAGAATAATTAAAGATTCAGGCCTGTTCCTGTTAAACTTGATGCACATTCTCTCTATATTTAAACAGGCTGAACTTTAAAGGCAGTTTTTACTAGCCACTAGGGAATATGCTCCAAAATGCAGTTTACTGGCATTTGTGCATCACACATGTTTAGTAAATACAGCAGCAGGGAGGTTTCTGCACAAACAATAGTCTGCTCAAGCCATAAACTTACAGTACAGCTGATTCTTGTCAGGAAGTTAAGTAGGAAAACAAAACAACAAAAATTTGTTTTTCAAAATACATCACCACAGTGTCAAGAAATGCTGATTTTTCTCAGGAGCACGTCCACCAAATCTGGGAATCCTGCTTGGTTCTCCCTTATCAGCTCTGATGCCCTGATTTACTCTCCCTGCAGATGTATGTGTACACATGTGTCTGTGTGTCTGTGCAAGATTTTGGCTGACTAAAGCCATTAAAGAGCAAGAATAGCTGCACTGAATTTACAAAGGCATTTATGACTCCAAGTGGACGAAGCTACGTCAAAAACATTGCAAAGACATTTGGTTTTGTTTTGTTTTCTCTTAAAACTACAAATTAATACAGCTTTGAGTTTTCATCACCTCAATGGGGCAAGGCTTCTTTTACGATTTCAATAACAAAATGAAGTGCAAGAAAAAGCAAATCCTCAACCAAGCTGATTTTTAAACCAATTCCACTTCACTGACCTTACTGAGAACACAGCATGTGGCCAAAGTTACCAGTCAGGATCTGCTCTGAACTGGTGATGGAAGCATGGGGAGAACCCAAACATCCCAACTCAGTCCCACCCTATAGCCAAAGCCACAGCACAATGTCCCAGGAGGGGACAAGGAACATTTTAGGGCACAAGGGGCCTGGGGTTTTGAAGGCTTATCTCAAAATATTTGTGATGCAGAAAATTTTGCAGGGTTCTGCGTCTGTTGTAGGAAAAATCTGGTTATGGCAAAGGGATCAAGCTTAAAATCCAACTGTTGTGTCACCTGAAAAAAACAAGTGGCCAAAGGGACATTAAAGGCATCAAGATGCTTTATGAAAACAGGGGACAGTCTAAACATCAAGAAGGACGATAGAGTTTATAAAATAAGAAACAAAACCCACACCTTTTCTTCTGTCATTAGTCCACAATTTACCAAATTGTCCTGCAAGTCTGACAACACCAAAATGCTTAGATTCATTAAAAGACCAAATTCTCCCTGAAGTACTTCTGGCCTAGTGTTTTGGACACTGACAGGAATTTAGGACAGGATATTTCCATGCTGGCTCTTCTCACATTACACTGAGACCTTCCTATCCTCTTACTACCAAAGTACCATTTGTACACATTCCAGCAAACTTTCAACACATGAACAGAGCAAATGAGGGCATTGGGAATTGCCACACTGATGAATAAAGCCAGCAAGGCACTTGGTTATCAGTTTTGTTGCTGTGGGAACTTCTAACTGGAATAAAGAACACTGGCTGTCATGCTGGGCTTTACTGATGATAGGGCATAATCAGATTTCCCACTTCCCCCTTTCACTTAAGGAGTTTAATTCACATTTTGCAGACTCTTGGCTTTGATTCACATGGAAAGGAGGAAATTTGGGAATAACAAACTCCCCAAAACAGATACACAATCTTTGAGAAGCAATAGGGTGAGCATCCTCCTGTAGCTATATGCATCAGAAACAGCAAATGGTTTCCATTTCCCCTCCTTGAAATATTTGGACGGTGATTAAATCTTTCAAGCCACGCAGCAGCTGGCATTTGTATTTTCATAATAAAAGGTCCTAATTCTGTTTGAGTATACATCCCACTCAATCCCACTAAAACACATGACTAGACAGAGGCATAAGGTTGGAGAAACAGTGCAAAGTCTGATGCAGAACCCAGAAGAAAGGAAAAGCACAATTTGCCAGATTCAGGGCTATTTTGGTTACAATAACACCATGTCTCTTTTACAGCTTTCAATTGCCTTCAGACATTCTTATGGTGATATAGGAGGATCAATGTCAATTTTTTTTTTCCTTTAATGAGCTTAAGAAAATCCTTAATCTTTTTAGTAGAAAAACAACATGTGTTTCAGATTTATGGGCAATTGATTTTTATTTTTAAAGCAAATAAGAGATGTCATCCTTCTCTGGAAGTTAAAAAACGAATTCAAAGGGAGCCTAAGATTTTCTGCCTTCCATTTAACTGAAATTCCTCCTGTGACACACTCCTACTGTGAGACATAGTAACAGTTATTATCTTTTATATAGAGCGAAACTGAAACACAGAGAGGATATCCTCTGCTAGAGGTGAGAGTGATCTCTGCACAATTAATGCAGCAGGAATTTGAAGACAGAAGACAAGAGGAATCTGAACCTGTTCAGACTTTGAGTCATAAGCTGCATCTATAAATATTTCAGCTGAACGTGTTCACACAGGGACTGCTGCCCTCATGGGTGATGATGCCAGCTTAGACAAGGATTATACCCAGACATGCAATTCCACCTCCCAGTTACTCTGTCTGGGGATGGGGGAGAATCCTTTTGTGCATGGAAATGTCACCTTTCCCTGCCTCCCCAACACACACATTCCTGCTTGCTCAGCCCCATCGTTTTGGATGAAACGAGCACTAAACAGTTTCAAGCTCATTTGACAGGAAAAAGAGAGTTCCACACCTTCTGAAAGGGAGAAGAAGGGAAATAAAGTTCTCTCTGGGCGGGTTTAACCTCAGCGTGTGCTTTATAAAAGATCATACTAATATGTAAGATATGTAAACATTATAGAGCAATCAGAAACAAATGAAAGGATGAATTCAGTTTAACAATATTCAGCTGTGGTGCAACTGCCAGAAGGCACTTTTTGTTATGAATAGATCATTTGGATGAGTTACAGGCCAGACTTGAACCCTGGCATGTGCTGGGAAAATCAGTGTCAAACTACCTAAGATCAGAAGGTATCAGCAGCACATCTGGCAGCCCACAGAAATGAAAAATGTTTTCAAAATATAAAAGGCTATATAGAACTAAGGTAAATTAAGAAAGGACCTGCTTAAATGGCATTAATATGAGATCTGTAATGTATTTAATTTAGATTATTCCTTCCCACTTGCCTCTCTCTTTAAAACAAAGGCAGGCAAAAAAAATCCACTTCTGTTATAAAGATCTACCTGGAAAAAAAAGCAGGAGAGGCTAATTCACAGCTCATGTGACTGAATCAGAGGAGTCAGTACCTTTAACCCAAGTTCAGCTCTCAGGACTGTCCCTGGATTCAGGGACAACACAGAACTCAGACCTTCACAGACAGACATCGCCTGGGCACCCAGCCATGCCATCAAAGGAGCAAGTGGCACTGGGAGATTTGTTTCACTTAGCTTTGTTTTCCTGGACCAGCCATAATGATCAGGCACATGCTTGTGTTTCCTGCTCAGCTTTATGTAAATGTTACGGCAATCAGAGACAAGATAAAATAAAACACACCATGCTGGAGAGAGCAGTTTTGTGAATTTCAGCAGAATTTTCTTCCCTAGTTGACACCATCTGTTGCTAGTGTAGGCTTACACAAACTCCTTCAATAAAACTGACAGAGAATTTGGAGAATTTGGCTATTACCTGAAAATCAAAGCTTTATATTAAAAAAGTATACTGCTATATCCATCTCCTGCCATTTTAATTTCAGCTTTCTAATATGGAGCTTCTGATATGTGGCACCA